AGTCTCGCGATGCCAAAGACAAATCGACGCCAGCCGCCGCAGCGAGGCCGCAGCGACAGACGCGCAGTCTGCTGGCGGCCGCCGAGGAAGAACGTGAGTCACGCAGGCAGACAGGGTAGGTCAACGCAGTGTGCTGACGTCCATCCAGGTATCGAAGTGTCTACCAATCAGCCAAACCGACAGCCCGGTACAGGTCACTCTTCGACGAGCCCGAGATCACAGTCACGGGCCCCAGTGGCGAGAGGGCCAAGCCTTCCAAGCCCGGTGTCCATCCCTCAACAGCATTCGATCAGAGCCCGACGTCGGGCCCGCCAAGCGCTGTCGACTCTGACGAGGAGGCAGACCTGACGGACATCAAGCGAGCGCAAAAACTGGCCTTCTCCATGACACCCGTCATCTCGACGCCCGACTCCCATCGCACCATTCGCATCGTGTATCGAGGTGAATTCGATGAGCTCGAGCGCGCGGCGGACGAAGAGGGCCGCACGTTGCGAAAGTATCTCGTGGCGACAGATCTCAGCGACGAGTCGAGCCACGCGCTGGAGTGGACCATCGGCACAGTCCTCCGTGACGGCGACACGCTCCTCGCGATCTATTGCGTCGACGAGGAGACGGGCATCTACGCGGACGAGAATGTGCTGATCCCCGACGAAGTCAAGGCGCACAAGGAGCAGGCGGCGGCGATCAATGCAGTGACGGCTGGCAAGGACGGACAGGGCAGCGCGAACCCGGCGCCCATCTTCCCGCACATTTCACGAGCGACGGCCTTGGGTTTCGGGTCTAGGAGCTCGTCGCCGGCGCCGGCCAGCCGGGACAGGGGCAGGGCGGAGGAGGAGCGGCAGCGGGCAGTGGAGGAGATCACGGAGCGGGTGACGAAGCTGCTGCGCAAGACCAAGCTGCAGGTGCGTGTGGTGGTCGAGGTCCTGCACTGCAAGAACCCCAAGCATCTCATCACGGAGGTGATTGACCTCGTCAGCCCGACGCTGGTCATTCTGGGCAGTCGGGGCCGCAGCGCACTGAAGGGGTACGTTTTGACCATGGCGGCACGCTGTTCTTCTTTTTTTTTCTTTCCCGCCCTTCTTCTTTCTTCAACTAACATGCGGCAGCGTCATTCTGGGCTCGTTCTCCAACTATCTCGTCACGAAGAGCTCGGTGCCGGTCATGGTGGCACGCAAGCGGCTGAGGAAACACAGCAAGTACAAAAAGGGGCCGATGGGCCAGGTCAACAACCTCAGCAACCCAGCGAGCCGCAGTCTCGCGAACGCCAAGATCGATTAGAATGGATACGGGTTTCCGAGTCGGCGGGGTCTCGTGGCAGCACCAGAGGCAGGCGTGGAGGCCGAGGCCGAGGACGAGGCGGGAACAGGGGCACGGGTAGGGGCATTCGCAGAGGCAGACGAAGAGAGGCCGAGGTCAAGGCGGTCATCGTCTCTGCGCAACAAGAAAGCAGAGCAGGAGGCGCATGCGGCAGGGCAAACGCACGCAGAAGCTATGACTCGAGCGCACGCGAGACGCCGAAAGTCGATGCTCGGGTGAGGGGATGCTGTGATGGCCAGAGGGTGGGGGGGCAGGTAGGCTGCCGGGCGGGTCAGCAGAGAGAGTTGAAGACAAGAAGAGCAAGGAAATATCCTGCAGCGACAGCGCTTGCGGCGTTTTGGGACGATGGTTTTGACGGGTGAAGGGGGGGAGGAAGGGAACAAGCGAAAAATCCACGATGATTCATGCCATGACCATGCCATGACCACGCCGTACCCAATCGGGTACTGGGCAGTAGCAGTCTGTTTTTGTTTAAGTGGTTGCAGCACGTCGCGCGTGGTGTATCGTGCAGTGGTCGCGATGCTTGGATGTGCAGGCGCGGGGTGATAAGATACGGAGTAGGTAAACACACCAACCCGTGGCTGTGGACCATGATTGGCAGATGGGCCCCACCATGGTGGGCAAACGGCAGTTGATGCACGGACCATTAAACGGGCCCACCGTTCTAGACGTGTCAGTGGCTCCACCCATCCGTGACCATCTGGCGACCTTTTGGCGTCGGGATTTCCCCCTCGTCACCAGATCGGGACTGACCCCTCCCTGGCCATCGCCTATCCATTGATCAACCTGTCGAATCCATCCATCAATCCATCGTTGCTTCGCCCCAAGCATTCCGACCATTGCCTCCATAGCCATATTTGTTTTGGTCGGACGCCCCCGACCGACGGCATCTCTGCTTTCCCCCCCCTTCCCGCAGGAAGACCCCTGTCGTGTTTCCGCCAGAGTCAGACACAACATCTCGAGCCGGAAAAGGAAAAGGTGGACAGCGGGCTTGCACTTCTGGCCTGCTCCTCGGAGGTGATTGGGCCAGACATCTCAAACCTCCCTCTACTCCAAAGACCAGGACAGGGAGGGTGGTGAGAGAGAGAGGAGAGGGGGGGCCCACTGACCGGGCACCTCAAGGCGGCGGTGGAACCGAGCGACGTCTCCCAACCTCTCGATTTCGAGCTGGCCTTGGAGTCCGTGGCCCAGACGACCTGTGGCCATTGAAAAGTAGGGGTGTCGTACCTTGCAGGTCTCTCTGGTTATTCGACACTCACACTCTGGGCTCTGCGATTGTCTGCCTTTTTTTTTTTACGCTTTCTCAACCTTCTTTTCGATTCAATCAACGGAACCTTGTCTGAGACGGACTGTATACTCGAATCGCCAAACATTTATTCTTCGACCAGCACCGGTGGGACGTACGGATCCCCTTCTCATCCGTCACTTACACACGACGCCCAAGCACGCCTCCATCACCTGCTGTCAGGCGCGGGCTGCCCATCTCCGTCGTGCCCGCCCGTGCCATGGTCTACTCGCTCGTCACGGTCAATAATAACGTGTCGCTGCT